GAATATCTTTTGTCAGATGACACCAATGTTTCTATCATTCGCGCAGCTATCGTGGAATATCTGGCCCATAACTCTACACCAAACATAGCTCCAGTGACGCTTTGGGAAGCTCACAAAGCGGTTATACTGGGGCAATGTATCAGACTCGCCTCTAAAATTAAGCAAGAACGATTACAAAAACAAAAAACTCTGGAAGATACTTTCCTAGTGGCCTCCGCAGATTTTTCCCTCTCCCCTTCATCCGCTCATCATCGCAGAGTAGAGACAGCGCGAAGAGACTTGAATTTACTGCTATCCTATAAAACTGATGCTATTTTACCAAAGACAAAACATACCTCGATGCTGGCGTCACGCCTCTGTGACCTGGATCCGACAAGGCGTCCCCTGACCATACGTACCACCCAAGGCTCTCTCACCAACAATCTGAATATAATTGTAGACGAATTTAGTAAGCACTTGTCACAGCTTTACACTCCAGATCGCACTTTTTCTAAAGATTCTGCTGATAGTTTGTTCGCCCCTCTGTCTCTTCCGCAGATTCCGGCAGACATCAAATTACTTTTAGAAGACCCGATTTCTGAGTCGGAAGTTCACCTAGCCATTAAATCTCTCAAAACCCGAAAACGAGCGTGACATGATGGCTTCCCTGCTCTTTACTATAAAAAATTCTCAGACCTATTAGCCCCGATTTTGGTTTCATCCTTCAATGCCCTCCGCTCCCAGGGCACTTTAGGCAAAGACACTCTTACAGCTTCAATCTGCATGATACCCAAGCCAAATTCAGATAATACGGACTGGATGAACTTCCGCCCCATATCCCTTCTAAACTTAGACATCAAAATACTAGCTAAAATACTGGCGGGCAGGCTGAACTTGGGGATAGGTCAGCTCATACACAAAGATCAGGTTGGCTTTATGCTACTTCGTCAGGCTACGGATGGCATTCGCAGAGCGACTCTCCTCTCTCATCTGGCACATTCAAGGAACATCCCCGCTATGTTCCTCTCTCTAGACATTAAAAAAGCTTTTGACTCCCTTTCCTGGCCTTATCTTTTTTAGATACTGGAACGATGAGGTTTTGGCCCCACGTTTTGTAAACTGTTATCTGCTCGTTACACCTTTCCTACAGTTAAGGTACATTATGCTGGGTTTAAATCTCCCCCTTCCCCATAAATAGAGGAACTAGACAGGGATGTCCTTTATCCCTGTTACCCTTTGCATTAGCCATAGAACCTCTCGCACAACTGATCCGTGAGCATCCTGATATATCGGGAATCCCCATAGCTGGCCACCATCACAAATTGAGTCTGTTTGCTGACGATATTCTCTTCACCATGTCACAACCTCTTGTCTCGCTCCCTAATCTCTTTGCAATCCTCTCTTCCTTCGGCTCCTTTTCGGGTCTCAGTGTGAACATCTCAAAATCTAAAGCCCTCAACATTTCGCTCCCAAACCAGATTGTTCAGCAACTCCAATTATCATTCTCGTTTCTGTGGGCTCCCACCGCTCTCTCCTACCTAGGTGTTCACTTGACCTCTTCTTATACTTCACTATATTCAGCTAACTACCCTCCATTGTTTCACCGTCTACGCTCCTTACTTTCTACTTGGTCCCATTTACCCCTTTCCTAATGGGTCGCATAGCAGCTGTGAAAATGACCTTCCTCCCGAAATTACTTTATTTCTTCAGAGTACTCCCTGTCCCTATACTACCTCACATCATCCGAATACTTCAAAGGCAAGTGATGCACTTCGCCTGGGTGGGTCGTAAGCCTCGTATTCCTAGATATTCTATGTTTCTCCCTAGACCGCTAGGTGGTCTGGGTGTCCGTAACATAATGCAATATTACCAAGCGGCACAAATCGCGCCTCTGGGTCTCGCTTGAAGCTGTAGACTGTGCCCCACTCGTAGTGCACAATCTACTCTGGTCTATCCCATGCACCCGTCTCAAGATTCATAACCCGATAACTCTCCACTCTCTGAGGGTATGGGATTCCGTGAAACAATTGGGAAACCTTGTTTCTCCCCAACTTCCCCTTCTCTCCTTTCTTCATAACCCAGCCTTCCCCCCTGGCTTGGAGAATCCAGCTGCTTTCTCCAGATGGTCTGCCAACAATATGACACTCATTCATTCTCTCCTCGACTCCAATGGTATTACAACCTTTTCAACGATAAGGGCTAAACATAATTTCACCACTGCTGATGTCTTCCGACATATACAAATCCGTCATTTCCTAACCTCCACGATAGGCCCTAATCTCACTCTCTCTCCTCTTACTTCTTTCGAGCGTATTTGTTTAGCCTCTCCACATACTAAAAGGAGTAATCTCCCTGATCTATTCCTCCCTACTCCACTCTTCTCCTGTACTTACTCACACCTATATGTCGCAATGGCAACGTGAACTGGGGTAAGTTTGGATAATGATCAATGGGAACAAATATGGGCCACAATCAGGACTTCTTCTCAATGCGCAGGGGCAGTGGAGACTAATTATAAAGTCTTAATAAGGTTGTATTATGTTCCCTCTAGACTTGCCCGCATCTTTCCTTCATCATCTCCACAGTGCTATTGCCACTGTGATTCCATAGGTACAATGTTTCACATGGGGTGGGCTTGTCCGATAGCACAGCGCTTTTGGAGCAAAGTATTTACCTTTATTCATTCCCTCACCGGTACTACTCCCCCCTTTCAACCGGCAGTGGCTCTCCTACGCTTGAGACCTAATAATATTCCTACCTCACATTTTAGCCTTATGACACATATTTTCACTGCAGCTAAGCAACCAATTGCAAAGGCCTGGCTGTCCCCTGTATTGAGGCTATCTGAGGTGAAAACCCGTCTACACACAGTGTCTGTCCATGAAAAATCCTCTGCGTAGCTCCAAGATACGATGAGCAAATTTAAAAGGATCTGGGATCCGTGGATCCGAAAATGTCTTCCAACCTGTTTTGATCCTGCTCTAATAATGACCTGAAAAACTGCCATCGCTCTCGACCTGGCTTCTTCACATTTTATTACAGATAACATTCCTATGAACCTGTCTACCTACCCCCCCCC